AGAAATTACGGAAAATAATACGGCACACGCCGTAACCGTATTAATTTGTTAAATGAATTCTACCGACAACTATAGGTATAAGTGGGGAAGTAGATTCAATACATTCAATAGTACGTTGGGTTCTAATTTATATTGTGGCTTTAGCTTGCAAAATAGCGAAGCAACGGTTTACAATATTAAAATACGAGTCTGTAATGAATTTCGAATCTTTTTTGCAAAAGGGATAGCTTAGAAATATTTATTACGTAAAATTTTATTTTTTTTGCATAAATTAATGTAAAACGTAATTATAATGAATACGTAATTTTTTTAGCGTTATACTATAATTTCGATCTAATTACCCGGACGACCGTCCTGGACACATTTTCTAGGTGCTACCACATAAGATAATTATTTTACAATACCAGACCATTCCGCTTGTACATGTTATTATTATAATAAAACTGAATGGCCTGGTGTCATATTAGTTGTATAACATAAACGATCTCTGCTATTACTATCAACGCCCGTAGCTCAACAGGGGGGACCGTCACATCCAGTGTTGGGCAAATCAGTGGTCAAGCAAAAATTTGCTGGTCAAATTGGTCAATTGGTCAAACTGATCAAATTGGTCAAGTTATTTATATAAATATAATATATTTATTATATAATAAATTATATTCAAAAATGCTATTTGACCGATTTGACCAGTACAAATTCTTTGACCAGACTGGTCAAATGATCAAATTGGTCTGGTCAGCTCAACACTAGTCAAATCATATCATTTGTAGATCTGTTACACAATTTATAAAAAACTTTTTTATATTGTTTTAAAATACTTTTTCAAAAAGCTCACGTTACTTTCCCCATTTTGAAATGTTAAGTAGTGCTTTGTAAACTTGAGGGCTTCGTATGGCAGTTTAATAATATCAGTTTAATCTCAGTAAATCCCACAGCTTTTATATGACGATTTACCTTGCAAAGGTATATATGTAATTAAGTAAATTAAGAAATACCGAACTACAATTCCTAGACGTTGAGCAATAAAAACTAAAAAAAAAGTAAAAGCAACGATCTAATAAAGGTAGCGTGGGTTTGAGAGTTAATCTATAATATCTTTTTCTTATACATTTATAAAAAAAATACCTTTAAAAGCTTAAAAAGCTAAATAATATAAACTAACTATCTTTTTTTATTTTCATACAATTTTTAATACAGTTAGAGATCATTTAAGATATCCGGAAGATTATATACATAAAAGTCTTTTATAAATTATATACACGAAAAGTCTTTATAGATATGATATTAAAAGTTAGTTTGTTTTTAGTTAATAAATGAATAAACAATGATATGCTTACTCATTTAGCGAAAAAATATATTGTATATATTCTGAAGTTAAATTCGATTTTATCTTGATTTGTTATTTTTTGTATTTTTTTTATTCTTTTAATACTTGTAATTTGATTGGCTAAACAACATATGACAATACGTGAACATCGACTGTTCCGGAAAGATCAGGTGCAACGTGAAAATCACGCACTTTCATCTAATTACCAACAATACAAATTGAGATGTGATCGACACCTAGCACGTAATTGTTTTGACAATCTTTATTTATTTGTTTTTTTTAAAAAAATAACGAACTTTAGTGTACAGAAAAAGACGTTGAAGATGTCAAATATGAAAATATTGAAAGAAAGATATTGGAGAGGAAGTTATTAAAGTAAGTTTTATTATTAGTAGTCAAACCTTTAAAATTTCTTTTAAGCTATGCTGCCTAAGCTATTGTTGAGGGTTCATTCTACATACAATTCGAAAGGATTGTTTGTTAGATTGAAAACTGAGCATTTAGTAAGGGTTGTTCTTTCTTAGAACATAAAAGTAATTTTAATGAAGTTTTTATAAAATCTACTGATTCTGCAGGAAGAATCAGTTATGTTTTTTATTTTTGAAAAAAACTTTTTGTTAGGCTATGAAAATATTATTACTTCATGACTAGTCATTAACCAATTTCTTATTTATTTTAACCAGATCAAATAATGTACAAATTTCTGGTATGTCATGGTCCGATCAAGTAGAAGATATAATTTTTCGAAATTTCTATTAATCCACGACCATCGGTTACATATGCGGACACGAATCATAAAAGATGTCAAAAGAACGCTTACTAAGATGAGTAAATTTTAATAAATAAATAAAAAATTAAACCATTTACAGAGCTGGCTAGTACTGACCTTTTTTTTTATTGTTGTCAATGGTGGATTTTTTCTAGGTGAATTAAAATTTGTTGCTGAATTCGTTACATTGGTTATCTTTGTAATATCGGATAATTCGGGTCACCACGTTTCGAAATAAGGAATAGAAGATTTGGCGAGTTTATTGGTTTGTTATAATCTTCTTGACCCTCTTGAACACTATTGAATAAGAATTTTTCTATGTTTTTATATATTACTACATTTTATTAATGTTTTGATAACGGTTTCAATTAGTGTTTCATTCATTTGCATCTAATCAAGTTTTTAGACACGATCATCGATTGTGACACCTTCGATCACGTTAGCTTTGGTTACAGTTTATTTTATTCATGACATCCCGGCGTTTATCTTAGATTAACAGCTATTTAATTGTCATGTATTAAAAGGTTTTGTAATTTGGAATTTCGTTTTATTGAGGTGAGTTACACAGTCTTTCTCGGTTCGTTTCGCTTTCTGAATCTTTACTCAAACTCAATGGCAATTTACATATCAGGATTCATTATAGAGTTTCTTCCCGACTTCATTTTATTCATTATATATCTGAGTTTTACTATTTGAGCCCTACTATTTATGCTATAACTTAATTCTTTTTTACGCATTGATTTTAGCATCTTATCCTAACATTGTTCATCAGTTTCGCTTACCAAAATGACCACGTAATTCCTATCCGATTTCTTGGGTTCAATTAAGTGTTCTGAGACCTTTCATGAAACTGTCAATTAATTCTCTGTCTTGTTTGGAATTTCTGTAGGGAATAGTTACCTGATAGTTCGATTGGTTTTTCACCCTTGCGGTTTTTATTATTAATTATAATCTTATTTATTCATTTATTTTTTTTTTCATTATGATAACCGGTTTAAATTCTTTTTTCAGGTTCCTCTAGGGTCGAATACGTGAGAATTTATTCGAAGCTATGTAAAATCCGAACCTGATTTGTTTCTTTTTTCTATGTGCTTCAATTTATTTAGAACTTTTAACCAACATTTCCATTTTATCTCTAAATTCGATGTGGTATACAAAGATCCAAGCTTTGTCGTCATCATGTTGTTTTGATTCTTTTATTCGGAGTTAAGCGACTAATTTTCTACAAGTTCTTTTCCACATTAAGTTTGGCATTTTTGACATCATGTTGTTCCGGATTGTTCAGGTAATGTTTTTTCTACTTACAATTATTATTCCAATTCCACTTAACAGGCTTTCTAAATTTATTTTAGTATCTAAATTTTTTCTTATTAACATAATAATATACATTTATCTGTTTTTTTTTTTTTTAAAAAAAAAAGAAATACAAGACTTGATTCCTTATACCTGAAGTTACGAAAAATATTCAATGAAGGGTTGAGTTATTTCCATGACCGAATCATGGTGATTCTAACGTGTAGGGTTGTTAGCATAAGTAAAATAAATCACTATATATTGTCATTCGGAAACTCGGCGAATCCGTTGCTAATTTATACGTAACCTACGGCAACTAAGTCGAAACAGGCGTGTTAGATTTGGCTGGTGGGTTCTTGTCCGTAGGCAAGTACTGGTCTCCTCTTTGAGTCTTGCCTTCAACCTATTCTCATACTAACTTTTCTTCCTTTATGCCTCAACCCAGGATTACAATACGTTGAATCGGGGCTGGGACTCTTCTCTTACGTTAACGGCCTCTTTGGTCATGTGACTTATGACGAACGATCAACTTGCGGTTTAGTGGTTTTTAGGCGAACGATTATGTTAGTGATGGGATTAATGAAAGTTTATTAGTTTGAATAGGGTAGTACTTCACTTTTATTAAGGAACGGGTACTTAGTTTATTATGCAAGTGTATTTACTTGGAGGTATCACTGCTTGTTTTTTTTCACTGGGAGAGAAGCCCTTTATTTATAATAAAAGAATTATTTACATTCACAATTAATTTCTGTTATTAATGTAACTTCTTCCTTATACTCTATATCTTAACTAAATCTAATAAAAGGTCAATATTCCATTTAACGTATAGCCGAAGTAGCAGAAGTAACGAAGTAACGGAAGTTACAAAAGTAAACATTTTGTTACTTTTTGGATCGGGTAGGGACCGTCGCTTCGATTCGGGCCCTCGTGACTCCAAAAATCGGGCTCAAAATATATTTTTATATATATTAATGACACCAACAACTCTACTGACTTGCGGGAATGCCAAGGATTTCATTGGTTTGTAACTATGCACAGTACATCAAGCATCAGTGTTGACTCATTATGTTATGTTAATGTGCTAACTACATTTTTATTTTTTAGGTGACAAGCTTTATATAAGGTTTCATTACTAAATTTTTTGTTATAGATTTCCGAATAGTGAATTTTCAAAAAAAATCGATAACTATGACGATTTGTTCAGAAAGAGGTTTTTATTCATTCCTTTATGATAGAAATAAGTTGGTTCACATGATTTCAATTTCTGTCTGTTATCATATATACCCAGTTGCTACTGTAATTCGGAAATCGGCTGAAACTAATCCAACTCTCGCGTAACCTACGGCGGCTAAGTCGAAATATGCGTGTTAGATTTGGCGTGGTTTATCCGTAGGTAAGTACTAATCTTCTCTTCTAAGTCTTTCCTTCAACCTATTCTTCTATTAACCCTTTGCCTTCTTTGCCTTCTCTTATCTGCTCTTGTATGCCTTTAACCTGGGGTTGGGATACGTCGAATCGGAGTTGGAGTTCTTCTCTTCGTTTAACGGCTCGATCACGTGACTTACGGCGAACGTCTAAAGGCGGTTGTAGTGGTTTACGGGCGATCGATAGGGTTAACAACGGGATTAACTATAGTTTATTAGTTTGTATAGGGTAATACTTTCGCTTTTATTAGGGGTCGGATATTTAATGTTGTTAGAGGATTTGTTGTTAGGAATGCGGATTATCCTCTTTCCAAGGCAAAAATATCCTTTGTTTATAATAAACGTTTTATTTACATTTACAATTAATTTCTTTCATAATCGCAATATATTTCTTATACTCTATATCCCCACTAAATCTAATAAAAAGCCAATATTTCATCTAACGCATTTGTCAACGAAGTAGCAGAAACGACGTAAGTAACGTAAGTAACATTTCCGTCACTTCCATGTGACCTTGGATCGGGTTTGGATCCCAAAAATCGGGCTCACAATATCATTTGTAGATCTGTTACACAATTCATAAAAAACATTTTCATAGTTTTTAAAGTACTTTTTCAAAAAGCTTACGTTACTTTTCCCACTTTGAAATGTTAAGTGGTGCCTTGTAAACTTGAGGGCTTCGTATGGCAGTTTAATAATATCAGTTTAATCTCAGTAAATCCCACAGCTTTTATATGACGATTTACCTTGCAAAGGTTATATATGTAACTAAGTAAATTAAGAAATACCGAACAACAATTCCTAGACGTTGAGCAGTAAAAACCAAAAAAAAGTAAAAGCAACGATATAAATAGATAGAACAATGATATGCTTACTCATTTAGCAAAAAAATAAATTCATATACTGTGTAGTTTCGATTTTATCTTGATTTTGTTATTTTTTGTATTTTTTTTTATTCTTTTAATACTTGTAATTTGATTGGCTAAAAAACATATAACAATACATGAACATCGACTGTTCCGGAAGGATCGGGTGTAACGTAATGGCCAACAATACAAATTGAGATGTGATAGACACCTAACACGTAATTGTTTTGACAATATTTATTTGTTTTTTTTTAAAAAAATAACGAACTTTAGTGTACAGAAAAAGACGTTGAAGATGTCAAATATGAAAATATTGAAAGAAAGATATTGGAGAGGAAGTTATTAAAGTAAGTTTTATTATTAGTAGTCAAACCTTTAAAATTTCTTTTAAGCTATGCTGCCTAAGCTATTGTTGAGGGTTCATTCTACATACAATTCGAAAGGATTGTTTGTTAGATTGAAAACTGAGCATTTAGTAAGGGTTGTTCTTTCTTAGAACATAAAAGTAATTTTAATGAAGTTTTTATAAAATCTACTGATTCTGCAGGAAGAATCAGTTATGTTTTTTATTTTTGAAAAAAAACTTTTTGTTAGGCTATGAAAATATTACTACTTAATGACTAGTCATTAACCAATTTCTTATTTATTTTAACCAGATCAAATAACGTACAAATTTCTGTATATCGTGGTCCGATCAAGTGAAAATTATAATTTTTCGAAATTTCTATTAATCCACGACCATCGGTTAAATATGCGGACACGAATCATAAAAGATGTCAAAAGAACGCTTACTAAGATGAGTAAATTTTAATAAAAAAAAATAAAAAATTTAGACCATTTACAGAGCTGGCTAGTACTGACTTTTTTTTTTTTTGTTGTCAACGGTGGATATTTTCTAGCTGAATTGAAATTGTTGTTGAATTCGTTACATTGGTTATCTTTGTAATATCGGGTAATTCGGGTCACCACGTTTCGAAATAAGGAATAGAAGATTTGGCGAGTTTATTGGTTTGTTATAATCTTCTTGACCCTCTTGGACACTATTGAAATAAGAATTTTTCTATGTTTTTATATATTACTACACTTTTATTAATGTTTTGATAACGATTTCAATTAGAGTTTCACTTATTTGCATCTAATCAAGTTCTCAGACACGATTATCGATTGTGACACCTTCGATCAGTTAGCTTTGGTTACAGTTTATTTTATCCATGACATCCCGGCGTTTATCTTAGATTAACGGCTATTTAATTGTAATGTATTAAAGGGTTTTGTAATTTGGAATTCCGTTTTATTGAGGTGAGTTACACAGTCTTTCTCGGTTCTTTTCGCTTTCTGAAGCTTTACTCAAATTCGATGACAATTTGCATGTTAGGGTTCATTATAGAGTTTCTTCCCGACTTCATTTTATTCATTATTGTCTGAGTTCTACTATTTGAGTCCTACTATTTATGCTCTAACTTAATTTTGTCGAATTTCAGGATCAATGATGGTTTTTTACGCGTTGATTTTAGCATCTTATCCTAACATTGTTCTTCGGTTTCGCTTACCAAAATGACCACGAAATTCCCATCTGATTTCTTTGGTTCAATTAAGTGTTCTGAATTTCTGTAGGAAATAGTTACCTGATAGTTCGATTGGTTTTTCATCCTTGCGGTTTTTATTATTGTAATCTTATTTATTTTTTATTTTTCATTATGATAACCGATTTAAATTCTTTTTTCAGGTTCCTCTAGGGTCGAATACGTAAGAATTTATTTGAAGCTATGTAAATATCTGAACCTGATTTGTTTCTTCTTTT